TTTAGTAAATTTAAGAGTGAAGATATAAATAAATCAGCTATCTGTGTTTGAAAAGTCTAAACTAAAGTGCAGTTGTATGCTTCAGCTTGTCAATGGATATTTATGAGGTGAGCATAATACTATAACAGTTATAGCAGTGAAATATATCCTGTGCAGATAGCTAGTAAAGGAGTTCACAAGCGTTAATGCCAGCAGAATTTTAATGCTCAAGAGATTGGAAACATGACAGTTGCTCTGACTAACACTGCTCTTACTGGCTACAGTGAAAATAAGTGGGTGAAATCAGTTTTCAAATATCGCAAAAGGTTGGGGTCTACATACTTAACCAACAGCAAATATGTCAGTTTCGACTATTATCTTGTTTTCATCTCTTGGTTTACTTAACTGAAGGGCAGTAACAACACCAAGCACTTTTATTTGGGGGCATCAATTTCCCTTTCCCACTTCTTATGAGACCCAGAGAAGTTATTGCCAACAAGGATTTCTGGAGAAGTGTCAGTGAACTTCTTACTCTAATAAATACTTGTTAAATGCCTGAAAATCACTTAAGTGATGTTAAAGCTGACAGATCCTAATTGTGAATTTAGACTTTGTTATGACCAGAGTTTTATTTATGATTTATCTTTGGTACCTTCTGTTCCTTCTTAGGTGGAGGGAAAGTCAATAATGGAGTAAAGCTTCTGCATAGAGTTCTATTCTAATAGATGAATCGAGATGTTAATGTATTTCAAGTTTATGTAAAGAATCATATTGTGTTGATTTTTTTTAGAAGCCAAAGAACACAAAGTTAAGCTTTCAATCTTTAGATCTAGGATATTCTCGTAAAACTTTTGGGATTTTATGAAGAATAGTATAGGTTTAATATGATTACAAGTTTAAATTTCAGGTTCATATTAGTTATCTAAGTTAACTAAGATTAACTTCAAATTAATAATTATTTGACATCAGCTCTCTGCAGAATACTTCATTAAGTCCCACCAGAATAAGAAAAAGCAACAAAGAAGGGAAGTAAACATGATATTATCTTTCGGTATAAGATAAAGGTTGAGTAATTCATTTTTTGGAGGGTTTTGAAGATTTACCTGAATATGGAGTCTTTATGTGTAAGAAAGTTGAGAATTAAGAAAGAAATATATGTTAGTTCACATTTAATTATACAGGGTCTACTTCTAAAGAAATCATAAGAAAAAAATATATATCATAAAACTACAGAATAAAAAGAAAGAAAGAATTATGGGCCCAAGTCAAACTATAGGTATACTAGAAAATGAACACTAATAGTGGTTTAGCTTCTAGCTTCTAGAACATCATATGCCTGAGTTTTTTGAAAGCCAAGTTACGAACAGAAAGGCTGAGTTATATAGTTGCCATTATATAATATAAGGGAAGCACATAAACTTAACCAGAAGTGGCAAGCTTTATCCTAGCTGGCTCTTAATTTCAAGAATTAATCCCTTATTCTCTGTGTTCTCAGTAGCAGTTTTCCAAAATGCAAAATTCTCTTCATATGACCAAAAGTCATCTGGGCTCTCCATAGGACCAAAAGATGAGGGAATAATGCTGCAGTGGTGTCATAGATCTAGGAAAGCAGGTCTAAAGAAGAGTAAAGGAACCACGTTCAGATACGTAAATAGCTTATCGGTGACCTGCCTTAGCATAAGCATGTATATCTTGAATAACAGTTATCAAAATGTATTTTTAGTACAAATATAAACAAAAACTTGACATGAATTGCAACTTAAAAGGTAGGTGACAGTGGAATTCCTTGAGCCAGATGAGGATGGAGGGGCTTGCAATGTGCCAGCCCATCCCCTTCGTGTGCACCATGCCAGCCATGGTGACCCCAGAGGCACCTTATAGAAAACTCAGGGCTTCAGGGACTATCGTATAAAACCTGACATAGAGAAACACATGGCTGGCTTTTCACTTAGAAGTTGCCTTTTGAAGACAGTTTTGCCAAATCATCTGGAGAGAAAGGATTCCAAAGTTATCACCATTAGTGCCAGAGGTATAAATATTCGACATTGTTGATTTAATAGAAAAATATGTGCCCCTAGATACCAGGCATATGGTTAGAAAGATTGATGCAGTATAAAAATTGAAGAGCTTTTCTATATTCTTATTTAAATATATTCAGTCCCAGCATGCATAGCATTTCAGATAGGCTGTGTGTGTGCATTTGTGTGCACACACATAAACACATTTTTAAAAATTAGATCACTGTTTGTGACCTGAACAAGTGGTTGAACAGGCATTTCATGGAAACTCTTAGAACTGTGTATCGTAAGAATGAAGCATTGACTGTGGATTATAAAATGTATTCACATTGGCTTGTGTCATGCTCATGCATGAGCATGCATGAGTAGAATTGCATTCAGATGGGTTCGACCAGGATGTTACCTATAAATACAACCCAGAGATGAGTAAAAAGTGATCTATAAGAACATTGAATGCTGGAAAACTTTGCATAGTTCGTAGTTGATGGTAATCCCAAGAGTGAGTAGTCGACAGATTTCCCTGGGAGTATGATCCCTGATGGAGTACTGAATAAAAATTCCTTTCTGTCCAATAGTTCCCTTTTTTCTTGGTTATCATTTGTATCTTTCCCTTTTTAGGACTACTCTCTTCCACCATATCTGTATTTTCTCTCATTTTCCACTGCTGTATTTTTCTCCTTTGTAACACATTTTCTCTTTCAAATTTACATTTATTCTGTCTTCCTATTTTTGAGGTCTGATTATTATGTATTCATTCATTTATATGTTCATCATCCATCCATTCATTTGTTTCTAAGTGAATATTTATTACAAGGCTGCTCTATGTTAGATACTGCAGTGACACTATAGAGGACATACGATCCAGAAGGCTCCAGAAGATAATATTTTTATTAAAAAAACAGTCCATCACTGTTTTAATATGCATAGTTCAGAACTGTTTCTTATTACCCATAAAGCTACACTATTGTGGCTTGGAAGCACTGTTTTATTGCTTTGCCGAAACATTTATTAGTTTTGTCATTTTTTTCTACCTTTCCTCCTTAAAAATGTTTGGAAAAGGGATATGTAATGAAAATAACATTTTTAATGTTTCCATGGCTTTTGGTGTCATATTTAATCTGGAGAAGAGCATCTTTTCACTTAATATTCATTTTAAAGATCTTGTTTGAAGGTTCTAGACAGTACAAAAATATAGGCCGAGTCCATGACCTATGACAAAGGCATTTTGACCTCATTCTAAGATGGTCTTCTCTCTGCTTTTCTCCCACTCCCCTTTGTACAGCGATTATTTATAGACATTAGGTGTGAAATAGGTAATAAAATTGACAGTTGTAATGATGTTGCCTCCAAAACTATTTAGAAAATGTACATTTTTGATGAATTTCTGCCTTTTCAGCAAAAGCTAATGGAAATAAGTTTGCTTTTATACTTTTCTCTTTCTTCATTAATTTCCGAAATTTCTAAATTTATGGAGCAGACATTTTTGAGAGGAAAATGGACCAAAATCCTGTTTTTATGTTCTTTTTTTTTTAATATTTTTATTTATTTCTAGGAGAGAGAGAGACAGCGTGAGAAGGGGAGGGTCAGAGAGAGAGGGAGACACAGACTCCGAAACAGGCTCCAGGCTCTGTGCTGGCAGTCAGCACAGAGCCCGACGCGGGGCTTGAACCCACGAACCGCGAGATCATGACCTAAGCGAAAGTCGGATGCTTAACCGACTAAGCCACCCAGGCGCCCCCCGTTTTTATGTTCTAAGCTATCTTCTCCAACAATATTTGTTGTTTCTTTTGAATATTACCATGTATTGGGTATTTAAAACAAACTTATTGTTCACATTTAAAGAAAAATAAAGAGAAGTTCTAAACTCTGAAGTTATAGAGCAGATATTATGACAAATAGGAAAATCTCAGTGAGATGACAATCTTTCCCTAAAACTAGAAAGCAGTATGCTTAGCTTTTTGCCTATTGAGAAATCTGGATGTGGTTTATGTTGTACAGGATATCACCATGGCCATACCCAGGAGATGGAAAGAGGAGACCCATTATCAATAATTTAAAACTTTGTTTTCAAATAATTCTTGGATTATTTACAATTACATAGGAAACAATGTGTCTTCTTAACCTTCCTTGAAGTGCTAAGAAATTGGAATGAGAAAGTGAAATGTAGAAAGCAGAGGCACCTGGGTGGCTCAGTCAGTTGAGTGTCTTACTTGATTTCTGCTCAGTCATGATCTCGTGGTCTTGAGATCAAGCCCTAAGTCGGGCTCTGCACTGGATGTGGAGCCAGTATGAGATGCTCTCTCGCCCTCTCCCTCTGCCCCTCCCTGGCTCGCGCATGTGCACAGAGGTGGTCTCTAAGAAAAGGAAAAGAAAAGAAAAGATGAAATGCAAATAAATAGTCACCATTTGGAAAGAGCACACAATGGTGGTGTGTAGTTGCACACAGAGAAATGGTCAACAACAGAGGATGAGTTTTCTACTGTCTTTTGCAAAAGCCTGTTATAAAATGCAAACAGAAAGAGATGGCATCTCTTCCCTTCCTCCCTGCCTTCTTATCCTCAGTCTTTTACTACTTCTCAAATACATTCTTCATGTATACATTTTAGAAGCACCATTTTTATATCAGTTTTAAAAGCACCAGATTGCATAAAGGAATACTTTCATTTAAATCCCTTATAGAAGGAAACATAGGGTTTGGCTTTGATATTTTTATTGCTAAGATAGTAATGCTATACTTTAAATAGCAATAACATAGTTCTGTTTTACATAGTTTTTTCCACTCTAATTTACCATACGATTGTGTAGGTGAACTTGCTCTAGAAAAGTTCTGAATGAACCACCACCTTGCTTTGACCCAAGGGGAAGAAAAAATGGCTTCATACTTCATCTTAACTTTGACCCGTTTTGGGGTAATTGTCTATTATATCATGGTAGGAAAATTAGGTATTCTTATGCCTTTTTATAATTGCTTTCATATTTCAATAGTGATTTTTTCTTCTCTAGGGCCGGTGCATAAACTTCTCCCGAGTTCCGTCTCAGTAAAAGGAAAGCAGGAAGACCAAGAAGGTATGAAGATACATCTTCACACTGCTGATTTCCAACCACATGAAAAAAAAAAATATGCATTTCAGAAGTTTTTGGAAGAACAGCTTTATTCCTCTCAGTCAGGAAATGTTTTCTCTGCCTTCTGCTTTGCTTGCACCAAACATTTTTAAATACTTGTTCTGCCATCTACATGAGAGTTGATGGAACCCAGTAGTAACTCATGACTCATGACATTGAAAATAAAGACTAATGTTAATCTACACACTATGGTTTATACAAGAAAGTGCGTTTGAATGTGTAGAAGAGGAAAAAGCAGAAACGACAGCATGAAGATGATGTCAAAATAGGGACCACAGAACAACTCGCCGTGATGGATCCATAACGGAGAGAGGAGTGTTTTATATGGAAACATGGCGCTGGTGTTTTTACAGCACAAGATTGTTAGCCACGGGCAGAGTATGAAGTTTCTCACCAGGCGAAGCAAATAAAGGAGTCCATTGCCTTATAGCTATGTCGGATCACAAAACCCTCCTAAGTCCCCTATCACAATGTGCCTTACGGGAAGCTTCTGACTGGAAAATCTTGTCATTCTAACACTGAAAAGTGCACACGCATGACAAAATGTAGACAGGATGCCTCAAGGTGTTGGTAGCAAGCAAGATTTTGCCCTTTAGTTTTTGAAGACACCTTTCTTTCATTGTGCACCCGGGAAAAGAAGAAAATTAATAGAGCGTTATTCCACAGGAAGACAGCTTCTAAGCAGAGATCTTGAGTGGAGTTTAAGGGACTTGTGCTTCGAGAACTTATCCCTGGGATTGGTAGATATACCCTCTCTCTATGTTTAGGGTTTAGTAGTGCATAAAGCATTAATATCTGTAAACATACCAGGAGTTTGTTTTGCTTTTAATTTAAAGGAAGCAGTAACCACAAAGCTTCCGCTCAGGGTTTTTCCTTCCTCCAAGCCTCCAAGGGCTCTTCAGCGTCACAAGCCAGCAACTCTCTTTGCATGAAAATTTCAAAGTTTAATTAATATAATTAAAGGCAACAGCAAGCAGCAGCCTGTGAAGATTTTGCTCATCTTTTTTATGCCTTTTGACATTGAATGACCTATTACTGTATGCGCATTACTTGGATTTTGAGGGGCACTCTACCTTGGTGATGATTCAGTAGAGGAAAAAAGACCTCCTCTCATCAATTTATAAATTAAATTTTCAGGAGGATCGGCTACCACAAACCATCGAAATGTATGTATTATAATTTTTTAGAAAAACCACCATCGTGTCACATCGACGATGCCAAATTATGTTAGCGTGAGCAGAAACACTGTGGGGGAGGAAGAAGGCAGCAGCTGAAGAAAAAAGCTCAAATGATCTAGTCACTTTCGATACTGTACTTCAGATGCGAAATGGATATTCGACTCGAAACCTGACAAAGCGCGCCTGCTTTGATGTGAACTGGTATAGACAATGACCAGTGGCTGGGTCAGTGGGATGTCTCTCTGTGAGCACAAAGGCTTATCAAATGACACTAAAAATAAGTTCAACAACCATCACATTGGAAGGGAGAAGGTGAACATTTCATGTTTGGCGGGCATGTGAGTGCACAAGATGGAAACAGCGATTTGGAGCATCCCAGTATAATTACCCCCATTGTGCTCTTAATGGAAATTTCAAAGGACGGGAGTGATTCTGTTGGTTGGTGTCCAGATTTGTGGCAATGCTCCGAGAAGCCTTACTCATGCACACCCAAATATATGTATACGTGCATATCCTCTAGCTTGAATCTTTTGCTCAAGTTTATTTATGTCACTGGCTGGCTGGATCCAAAGTCATGTGTCTACATATTCATAAATAAAATTTTACCTATGCCTCTGCTACCATTTTCTTTAAGCCCACATAAACTCAAGCTTTGTTTGGTTAAATATATTATTGTCCTGGTCAGTTTCCGGACAGAATTCTGTTCAGTTCCAAAATGTCGCTTACGTTCACAAATGATACTATTGGCAGTACTTATCCATGGGTGCAAGTGTAACTTGGAAGCCAATATACCCAATGAGTTCCTGTAGACCTTTGTTCTACATTTTCATCTGGGATGGCCCTTCTTGCTGTTTTCTCAAACTGGCACTTCATTTCTGATCCTTGCTTACCCATAAATGGCATTTAAGAACACCAAAGATAGTACAGAAGCCAAGGCTGTTTCTTCAGTAGTTACTTGGAATGTGTCTACTATCGTATGGCTCACATATTGCATTTGTATTGCATTAGTATTTTGCTACATGAGCAATGTGAGTAGACCTCTGTCCTTAAAGGGCTAAATAGCTTTCTGTAGATTGTAATGTAAATGGGTTTCCAGTTCTAATACCACTATGAAGAGCTCTCTGTGAAGAGGGAGAAGCAATGGCCTGTACGTAGACTAAAAGAGTACCATTCATAAAGCTCAAAGACAGGTGGAATTTCATTGCACTTAATGATATGAACCAGATCTATGCTATTTTCTCTCATTTTGCTATCTAGCAAATAGAAGAATTTGCCTTGAAAAAGTACTCTTTTCTCACCAAAGAACTAAATCAAAAACCTCTATACTTTTTAGTCAGGAAAATAAAAGGTTAGAATAAAACCACTTCTATAAGTTTAATAACATTGTGTATATTTTATAGAGAGGAATTGGTCCTGTTTAATTTTCTGGACATAATGTCAGTCAAGATCTACTTTCTGTGTCTAAATGAGTACGTCTTTATCCGTAATCCATTTGTGTTGCATAAGGTTGCAACAACAATTAAGTGGGAAATGACTCCTAACTTATGTGTCTATTCCGCCTGGAAAGAAAGTTTTGAAGGCATCTATATATATTTCATAACAATGTCTGTTCTTTATGGATTTGATCCATAAATATTTATCTATCTGAAAACTTTGATACTTGGAATGTTTTCCTTAAAGCATTTGGTGCTCCAAGAAAAAACATTTGGTGCTAAGAGTTACAGCACTGATGCCTTTCCCCAAGTTAATTCTATTTTAAAAATTTATATTTCCTTCCCAATGAGATGCAGAGTCAAATTTGAGACCCTCCATTAAGTAGGGCGCAGCACATGCCATCTATAGATAATTCTTATTTTGACAAAAATATAGAAGGTTTAAACCTCCTATATTTCAGATTGTTTGAGAAATGATTTGCTTATATTCCTCCTGAACTTTATTTGAACCATTTAAAATCATAAATTATTCAATATCTGTTTTTCTAATAAATCCTTACTGTATGTAAGATCTGGGTGTCTCTGTGCAGTGAATAACTTTACTATCTACATACCACTGACCACTGTTTACTGCTCAGAGGCAATTTTTTGGTTTATCTTTAAAGTTAAAACACTGTCTGTATTATGGCCAAAAGGTGTCTAAAACATTTTGATTGATCATTTCACATATATTATTTTTGAATTTTAAGAGAGCAAAATATGATTAGGCCACATTTACAAGTGCTGTAAAGCACTGTAACTTCCTTATCTGTGGCAAAACCTGTGGTTAACTTCTAGTTCTAGATGGCATCACATTACTTTAGGAAGTTTATTAGTGTTTTATTACGAAAAAAAATTTGGTGGGTATATAATTCAGGAGAGAAATATATCCATTCTTTATTTTAATATGAAAGGAACTATAAAACTTAGAATCAGAAAACTGGCACACCTGTCGTATGTTTAAAGAAAGAAATGGGCAGGCGAGGCTGGAGAAGGGTGTCTGTAGGTGATGAAATGAGTGCAGCCGTGTATTCTAGTCATGGGGTTATATTAAGTCTTTGCTTAGTGAATTTCTGTGGCAGATTTCTGAAAACACTTTAATTTTGGTATATTACTACAGTTTCTAAGATCAAAGTCAGTCAAATTGGTCAAATGAAAAACAATTGAAAACGTAATGCAGCAAGCCCTGTGCTGTTTTTTATTTTTATTTTTAATGTTTTACTTATTTCTGAGAGAGAGAGAGAGAGACAGCATGAGCAGGGGAGAGTCGGAGAGAGAGGGAGACACAGAATCCTAAATCGGTTCCAGGCTCTGAGCTAGCTGTCAGCACAGAGCGCGACGCGGGCCTCGAACCCATGAACCGTGAGATCATGACCTGAGCCTGAGTCGGATGCTCAACCTACTGAGCCACCCAGGCGCCCCTGTTTTTTTTTTAAATGTACTTTATTTTTGTGCTTTTCTCCCAAAAGAAAATGTCGATTAAAAAGTACACAGTAGAACATGCAAATTTATATTAAACTGTTCAGATTACTTTACAAGAACTATATCAAGGTAGTGTGTGTGTGTGTGTGTGTGTGTGTGTGTGTGTGTGTGTGTAAGAAAGAGAGAGGAAGTCAGTGTGATGTGCTACACAGTCTTCCCATAGGAATCGGGTGATGGATATCCTAGCTCCTAGAGCTAGCCACAGGTAGCTTGCTGAAATTAAACTGATCAGCTTCTCAACCATAGACTAGAGATGGACTGGTGATATCTCAAGTCCCTTCCAGCTCTGACAGCATTTCTGTGAATACAGTCATATTGGAGGTTTTAGTACTTATGTATTTCATATTTTTAATGACTTGCCTCATTTGGAGGGCACCACAATATTAGCTCTGTAAACTTCCATTTAAGTACCAAAAAGACATTGAACCATAGTACATAATTTTATAATTAGCCATAATAGAGTAATTTCTCAGTTAATTTCTTACAACTAAAATTTGTCAAAGAGGCAACTGATAATAAAATTTATATCTGATGAATTCTCTGAAACGATGAGTAAAAGAATGGGAAGTCTATTTGTGTTTTTCACTCTGACTTTGCAGTCATAGCAGGTGCCCCAAAGTCATATATGAAGATGTACAGAAATTATTACAATATATTTATGCTACTAATTTTAATGAGGTACTGTGTATGCTGCAGAAATTAAATTATTCTTTAAGTTAACTGAAGTTAAGAAAAGTTAAACTTTTCTTTTCCTTAGTCAAAATTGGAAAACAATCTTAATTGACAGTAACTGTGCTTATGTTCCCCATAGGAAGTATTCAATGGAAGACATTTTACTGAGTCATTTGAATACTACTCAGGATATGCAGTATTCTAGAATTGCTAAATCTCCACAAAATTACCATTGTTTTATTGTAGAAGAAAACTTTGGAAGTAAGAATTAAAAGAAAATGGATGCTTAACATTGTCTCCTAATCACTGTAAAGTTATTTATGTTTTAGATGAATTATATTGGCAGGATTGTCAATGTCAGTGGACAATCCAAAGTTAGTTATAAAAGTTGTTAAGATGTACATTTAAGTAAGTCTCAATTTGGTTAGAAACATCAAGAGTTAATTTTCTAGAATGTATACTATCCAAAAGATATGCATTGCCTTTATGCACTAAAAGGCAAGGCGATTAAACAGTTTAGATGCAAAACAAAGGAACTGAGAGCTTCCAAAATCATAGATGATAGAAAAAGGAAATTGTTACATCATATGCTAAATTAGAAGCAAATGTAAACCCCTAGCCATGCTTTTGTACTTCGCCATCTGATTTGTGTAAGTAGCCAGGGAAAGAAGAACTCACAATATAAAATAAGATTGACTAGTTCTAGCAGATGACACCTGTAAATAGAAATTTTACCAGCTGAAATTCTGATGTGAAATGAGATGATTATCTTCTTTTGAGTTCTTTTTTTAACATCCTATAATCCAAAAAGTCTCTGTTAATTAAATAGAGCAATGACAGACCTTCATCTTCTTTAAATACTTTGTTTGTGTGAGGCTGTCACATGGGGAGAAAGATTATATTTTAAACAATATGTTCAAGTGTAAAATATCTTCAACAAATTCTTAATGTTAAAAAAAAGAAAGAAAGCTCCATGACTTTTGTAATTAATTTCATGGAATTCTTCATGAAGAGCTGAATATTTTAGAAGGCTTGAAAAGATTATATATATATATATATATGTAATATATATTATATATATATTTTAAGTTTTTAATGTTTATTTATTTTTGAGAGGAGGGGCAGAGAAAGAGAGGGAGACACAGAATCTGAAGCAGGCTCCAGGTTCTGAGCTGTCAGCACAGAGCCTGACATGGGGCTCAAACTCTGGGACAGCAAGATCGTGACCTGAGCCAAAGTGGAACGCTTAACCGACAGAGCCACCCAGGTACCCCTAAACATATTTTTCAAAAGGGTATCAGAGAGTATATTGGTAAATATTCAGAATGTTTTATCTCATTTTAAAGGACATTGGTATGATTAGAATAATATGGCACAACACTAAACACAAAAGAAAATCACAGTGGCATTAATGTTCAGTATCTCTGTATTCCTACAACCATCCAGAAAGCATTGAAATGATATGTTTATATCAGTGATTTTAAAAATGCAATTCAAATGATAAAGACCAATATGTAAGTGGTTTTAGAATTACTAAATCTATTGAACTGGTAGAGTAAAACTAGCGTACTCATCAAATTATTTTTACTAATTGTGTATAAAATGGAAGGGATTACTATACTTTAAAAATGATTCCCCTCAACTCTTCCAAAATCAGTCCAAAATTATCATTATGGTCATTATGCATATGTCTATAATTTCCAACTTGGAAAAAAAATTTTATATCAATTAAATTGGAAAGACAGGGCTCATATTACTTTTGTATTACTTCTGTCACAAATTATCACAAATAGTAGCTTAAAACACAGACTTATTTTCTTACAGGTCTGGAGGTCAGAAGTCCAAAATCAGTTTCAATCAGCTAAAAAGTTAAGGTTTCAACAGGATTCAATCCTTCTGGAGGCTCTGAGAGGAGAGTTTGTTTCCTAGTCATTTTCAGCTTCTAGTGGCCACGTGTAACCCTTGGCTTGTGTCCCCTTCTACACATTCTTGTGTCCCCTTCTGCATCATTCCAGCCTCAGCTACAGTCATCACATCAC